AGAGAGAGGGGGGGGGGGAGAGGAAAAGATAACGCAGCACGACGCGCTCATGCATCATCACGATCAGAAGCCGTGGAATCTTTTTGTGTGCTTTGACCACAATGTAAACAATGCGGCAACGTGTATTTATATACACGCGTGTGGAACGCGCGCGCCTGTCTCGCCTTCTTCGTAGCGCGATATGTTGGCTTTTGCCGCGTTATGCGGAGTCTTCTAACCCGATAGTTATGACTCAGGCAAGTAACGATCCTACGGAGAAACATATGAAAAATTTGGGACAAATTTTCTTATAGATCTTTTCTTCGGACAGTGTTCAAATGAGAAATAAAGAGAAGATGACTCGAAGATTAAAAGAACGTAATCTTAGGAAATTAAAAAATTGGTGTCTTGTGAGACAAAAGTACCAATGTCTGGAAGCCAACAACACCGATACCTCTTGACATTCTTATTTTGTTTTGGTCCTTAAATACGAATATTTAAACTTTTCCAACGCAAAATATATGTGTATATTCAATGTACATATATATGTATTCTCTATATTGAAAGTTGAAATAATCGTGTTTGAAGACCAAAGCAATGAGAATGATCAGTTAGTTATTATATCCTGTCATCGATACTTTTACCTCGCACTCATTTTTTCTACTGTTTTAACCACTTTACACATTCACAGAACACCTTGAAATGATCCTCCTCTGATGGCCTTTTCCCCGTAAAGCCCGGGGCATAACTTTTATTTCGCGGCGCGTATAGAAAGTGCAAGTGAGTGAAAAAGAACATACACGGTAGAAAGCCCACCTCCGCTCGTCTGTTATTCCTTTCGCTGCAGCTCGTCTCCCTCCCCCTCCCTCCCTCTCTCCCGCACCCCTTTCAGCCCGACCGAAATACGAAACGCGTTCCTATGCCGCGCCGACCTATTACATTCTTATGCTAATACTTGTGTCAATGTATCCGGATCGTGTATCACACCGCGTTTTAATTAAACGCCGCCGGTTGAATGTCAACGCCGGTGTTATTGCGTAACGCGTTATAATAAAACAAGCGTCAAACCGCGTCGCGCGGCGCGGTTTCGCCGCCTTTTAAATCGAGCCGAATTAGTCCTTCGCCGGTTATTATCAAAATAAATATTGTCGTGTATCCCGGAAAGACACGTTGTACAAGATACGGACACAAAGACGCGGATGTGCTCCTCAATCATCGCATGATGCGGATATAATTTATGATACGATGGCGTATCTCTCGCGATTGATACGCGATAATAAAGGGTAGCGCGTTCTTCACGCATTTCCGTACGGCAATTTGCGCGAAAAAACACCGAAGTTCCCTCGGCGAAATCGGCCACTCGGTCCGATAAAGACCCAATAAGACGCCAGAGTTGATCGAGGCGAGTGTGATTTCTATGCTGCTACATGTGTAATTATCTGTATGTCTCGATAATCGCCGATAGCTGGCGAGGCGTTAACAGTAAACGCACGTGGTGTCATCAGCGATATTGCTTGGTAATTCTGCGCGACTCGAGCAATGCGTGTGCGTACGGATAGACGCGCACGCATCGGACATCGATACTGTTAAACATCCGGCGAAGAGACCACTCGCGTACGGGACGATCGAAAGATTACGACAGGCGCATTAGTGGCACATCTGGCAGAGGAGTTGTCTCGCTCGGCTCGATTACGTCGTCATTCTCGCTGCTCCTAATCATAGATGACTATACACGGTCCCTTGTACTCCATCAAGGTCGGCTTACCGAGCTTGCGGACACGAAAACGGTATCGACGTTATGCTCCGGCATTTAACACGTTCTTACATCGCTCTCTCTCTCTCTCTCTCTCTCTCTCTGGTAAAAATAGAAAATTTTCTCCGCAGCGCGGCAGAAAGTATGAGCTGCACAATAGATTTTTTTACACTTTATTTCAGTATTGGACATTAATCGATTCAAAACTTTTTTCGACGAGAGCAATCGGCAAATCAATCATCAAAATTGATGAGTCGTTGTGTATGTAATAACAAGTGATTTTGATGAAATCAATTACTAATCATTGTATAATGAGTTATTATGAAAGTTTGATTATGAATTAATTTTATTTGATTAATTGAATTGAATTAGTTGATCTGTAAATAATAAAACTAATTAATTTGATTAATTAATTCAGTCATTACTCGGTGGAATTATTCGTGACTATACATGACGATTGATTTCAGCCAAAGCACATTCATCGATTGATGCCCAATGTTTCCACTCAGCAAGCATTAATCAATCGTCACATACTGAAAGAAAAGAATTTTGAAAATTTATTTAGAATATAAAAGTTTCTGCGAGTAAACTTTATTATCTCACAAATAAAATTGCAAGTACAGGCTGGCGCAAAAGATACGAACTGGTTTAAAAAAAATTCATAACTTTTTAAATTTAATTTTTCTTTTCCTTTTTCTTTTCAGACTTTACAAAGAAGATTAGGGAAAATCTTCGTAAATTAGACTTCATAATTCTATATAAATAAATTGAAAATTTGAAAGTAAAATTTTTGTAAATATTTAACAACCGTTCGCTTCTTTTGCGCCATCCTGTATTTCTTCCTCAGTGGATATGTATAATTTTATGAATAATTTCATCGATAGGACTCAATTCATTATTAATCAATGTATAATTAGTCACATGAAAATTCGACCTTATCAATCGGTGAAAAACTAGTTGTGATTTTATGCGTGACGATTACTTAATTATGAGATTTGCTGATTGTTTTAGCCGAATGGAATTTTTAACCGATTCGTGCCTGACCCGACAACGCCTGATTGGTGTTCCCGCGGTGATCGTGCAAGTAGGAGTGCACACGCGAGCGTTTCTAATCGAGCAATTCTAACGACTGTGCTTTCTCTCTTTGCAGACTGCACTCAGCATTTTCTTCCAAGAGGCGGCGATACCCTCGTGCGCGCAAGGAGCCGGCACCCACTTCGGCCAAGTAAGTTTACTTCCGGCATTATTACCGCCGTTACGAAACACGTAACGCGGACTGCGCGTTTATATCCGCGGCTGTCGCGCAATCGATGAGCATTCTATTTCTGCGTCAGTGAGTGAGTAAGTCGTCGTCGTCGTCGTCGTCGTCGTCGTCGCCGTCGTCGTCGTCGTCGTCGTCGTCGTCGCCGTCGTCGTCGTCGTCGCCGTCGTCGTCGTCTTCGTCGTCGTCGTCGTCTTCGTCATTGTCGCCGTCGCCGCCGTTTTGCTTCGTCTCTTCTTCTTGTTTGTCTTCTTCTTCTTCTTCTTTGCAGACATGAGAAGGAAAGTCAGGACCTAGGGAGACGACGAGACGAGGTCGTCGGTGGATCTATCGTCTCGAGAACGTCGTGTCAAGATGTGTAGCCTGATCTGTAACGCGAGATCGCTCACAAGCACGAGACGCAACGGGACATTCGCAAAAATACGATATCATCCCGGTTGTTTCTCTCTCATCCTCTCGGGTCACGTAATCTCACGTAATAACGCGTGAGTCACGTTAAACTTTCGGCGGACCCGGCGAACGACGTGCGTGGGTCGTCGTGTATGTTCTCATCCTCTATTGATTATTCAAAAGTAGGTTTCGCGGGAGAGAGATCGCAGAGCGAACAGGCAAGCGGGCGGTTTGTCGGTCGGTCTTTGGAACACGTCGTCGTCGTCGTCGTCGTTGTAATTTGTTTGTTCGCACAAGCCTTCGCCGGCGCGATTCACGAAATCGCTTCTTCCGACCCCCGCGAGCGCACGTCCTAATGCGCGCATATAGTATAACGGGGGAGTATACGGGAGAAAATCGATCGTAGCGTGTGTCTGACCTTCACGCGTGCTTTCCACCCCTTCCGCGACTATTTATGTAACGTCGCGTTTTCTGATTAATTACTTGCTCTCGCGTGCGCGGCCACCAGATATTTCTCTCTCTCTCTCTCTCTCTCTCTCTCTCTCTCTCTCTCTCTCTCTTTCTCTCTTCATTCCAGCTTTTGTAATTTCAGGATCGTCATACACAAGGTCGTCGTGTGTGACGTCTGTCACGCTGTTTCCTCGCTGCTCAACGCGACGTTTGAATTCGGACGAGGAACGAGACGGAAGGGATTTCGATTATTTCACATTCGCTCGCCGCGGCTACTCTCCGACGAGGAGAGGTGAATCCGCGATTTATCGCGGTTTATTCCAGCGAGGCCTAAGCTAAGCGACCGATCTGCCATTTAGCTCTCTTTCCTTGCGCGTTACTCGCCTTTTTGCACGCGTGATCTGGCTTGTGATCAGGCTGCGAGAGAGGAGATCCGACGTTCTATACGGAGCGTCCGGTAATAGACGCACGTGGTGGCGACGTTCCTTGTCGGAAACTAAAACGAACTGTCCTGAGAGGAGAAACGCTCGGGACGCGAATAGTTTTCGAGCGTCGCGGGGCCGATCAAGCGGAAGTTCCTCGCGCATCCTACGAGGAGACACGAAGAATAGGAATTAAGGCGGGGTCGTTGTTCCTCGGCTAATCTTGTCCCGTCGCCTTTCCGAAAACGCAGAAGAACGGAGGGCGACGCTCGAGGAAAAATCGAGGAGCGCGAGCTCTCTCGCAAAGGAAAATAACGTTCCGTTCACCAAATGCGCCCATTACCTAACACCCTGTATATATATGCCTCAGCTTCGACATTCTCTGGCGAAGTTTACCGCTCTCCGCCACTGTTTGCCGCATTCTGAACTCGAGCGTGTTTTCTTTCTCGAGCTTCTAAGGCGGGCTTGCCAGGTTAAATGAAAAGCGAGAAAGTAGGTCAATGTCAATGATTTTTTTCCCAAGCGTAACGACGCGCCTTGTAATTTATACATTTAGAAACTTCCACGTTAAAATAAAGCGCGAAGCAGACAGACGAAACTTGTACTAGAAATATTTTCTCTCTCTCTCTCTCTCTCTATCTATCTATCTATCTATCTATCTATCTATCTCTCATTCGCATATATTCGTTCTGTTTTATGCTAATATAAAGTGCTTCACAATGAAGCTTAATTGAATACCATTATTATTCATGATACTTATCTGTATTATCAGAGATGACGATGACCACGATGGAGATGTACAGTTTGCACGGGCAGATTTCTCGGGCGTGTTTTCATGCGCAGTACTCGATGAAGCGGACGCGATTGACTGGATAATGGACAGTCGGAAATTCGTTTTGAATGAACGCAAGGTCGTGCCGTGGAAACCGGTTCGAAAGGTCCCGGTTGTAAAGGGCTCGCCGGTGTGACGCCGGTAGCAGGTGTCAATAGCGGTACGCCGCTATCGTGTTTACGACGTTTATCAACGTCTTACGTGCGAGGAAGGAAACATCGCGCGGAATAACAATCGACAGACTGAAACGTTACACCTAGCGATTATTGTTGATATACGGGTTGTCTGACAATTAATCGCGCAACTGTTGTGTACAAGTAAAGATTGCCCAGCTGAACACAAAATTCGTCTACCATTTCGCAAACGTCAACGTACTGTTTTTGAGTCGCAAATTAAATGCTTGGTTTACACCGAGAGGACTGACCTGTACCATGACCAATCGCAGTCGATTATTCTTGTCAAAATCAACTGCGATCGGTCACAGTATAGATCATTCCTCTCTGTGTAAACTAAGCAAAAGAAGGCTGGTGACTGATTACCGCGATAGATATACTTGTACATCAGGTTAAACTGAACGAAAAAGTTCTCTACCATTTTGCATATAATCGCGTAAATTTGTAGTTATTAACTAAAGAGGATTGATGCATGATTGTGGGCGACAATGTACCGATCTTTAATTGATAAAACCGCTTGAAAAATAGTAGAGAACTTTTTTTGGTCAGTTTGATCTAACGTATATCTGTTGTATTGTGTATGATCATTTACCAATTTACTTAAAGTAGTACTTTCAGGAGTTTGATCAATTCTATCTATACATATCGCAACTGCATAATGAATTGTCGGACACCTTGTGTAGAAACACGTCATCCTATTACCGCAAGCGATGCTTCATTTTTTCGTAATTTGCTGGTGAATATCGCTGATGGGATTTGCGAATTACTCGTATAGAATTGTGCGTTCCGACAGCGGACGAAGGCAAAGGTGCTGTTCTCGCGACAGGACACACAAGGGAGAGCCGCTGTGCCGGCAGACGGAGAGACAGTCGTCGAGCGCGTTACTATTCTCGGTCGGCGGTGGCACATTCCGATAAGTCGTGTGCCAAATCCCGGTCGGAGACTGGACACGCGTCGCGACAACAGCACCTTCTAGACGCACACGCAATCCTTTTTTTACGGCTCCTGCGGCGTCACTGCAGTATGAAGAAAAAATCACGACACTGAACAATGACGCGTTATTGATGTGTATTTGTATTCGCGCGCGCGTACATGTGTGTGTGTGTGTGTGTATACTGTGCAAATCCGAGCTTTATTCGCACCTGTTTTCGGTGGTCGATTCTTCATTATCTTCAGATCTTCGCTTGGCTCTCACATTCGTGTGCAATCGATGAGAATGAAAGTATCGAAATTTCGACCGTAGTCAGTCGATCCTCGATCGTTATCTCGCGTTCATCGATAAATTCTCTTCGCACGAGCGGTTCATTCATAAAAGCGAAAGTACTACGGGATTCGTTTCGCGAGAAACCATAATCGACGATACCGTAATGGGGAGGAGCGCTATTATCGCTATTTAATTACCTGCTTATCGCCCGCAGGTTATCGCGGTCGCTTGTTGTCACGCTATTACTACACGTGTTACCCGCGTGTATTGTTTGGTCGTATCCGTTTACCTGGTGGCCCGGACATCACGTGCAGCAAGTTCGACGACCTCGTTACCTAACAGTCGTCTCTCGATCTGGCGCATCCGCGACAGATTTCCGTCACCTCTCGTTGACGACAAACTTTTCCCCACGATATCTATTTTTTTACTCCCAACGAGCGTTTCTTCTTCTTCGTGTTCTCTGCTGGAAATATCATTCTACTCGGAGGAAATGAGATTATCCGCCAGAAATGAGATCTCATCACACAGTTATAAAAAGTATTAATGAACTTTGCACATGAAAGTTTGACAAATTTTAAAACTGTTTTGAGAATTAAATCTTTCTCTCCTCGTTCTCACGCCAGAGAAAAGAAAGACGATTTTATCATCAAAAAGAGAAGAGAAAAGATGATACAGAACGATTTTTTGTGCTTGCAGATCACGCCGTGCAACACGCCAGCCACTCCACCGAATTTCCCGGACGCGCTGTTGGCGTTCTCGAAAATGTCAGCCGGTGACAAGACCCCCTCTGGTAAGTCGTTGCTATCGTGACAATTCCACTCCAATGTTAATACGTGAAAACGATTATAGAAGAATTGAATATATTGATTATAGAAGAAAGAGTCAACACATATGTATGTCGCGAAAGCTCTTTCAAGCGCGATATCGATGTTACAGGTATGTCACCGAGTCAGAACGGATTGCAGACGAACTCAACGACGTCTGTGACGGCGAGCATGCAGCATCATGCCGCGGGTGGTCGGTGTAGCGCGTCCGGGAACGCGCAGCAACAAACGACCCAGCCCCAGCAACAATTCGGCTTGGGAGAGCCGCAGAGATAAAACTGACCCGGTCCTAGTCGGCGATGCGCGAGCACGAAACCACGTAGTATAGGCGCGCGATAATGTTTCCGGGGCGAGAATCGCGCGCCCCGATACAGCGAGATGGCATATTAGAGAAGACAGAAACGTACACACGCGAAAGAAGGAGCGGCTGAAGAAACGGAAAGGAGAGGAGGAGGCGACGCGCTGAGCCGTGCGACTCGTTCCTTGAGACGCGTCGTTTCCTGGAGGAGGAGAAGGAGGAAGAGGGGACGAAAGAAAAGAAGAGCACGTCCACGAGAAAACGTCTCTGTGGATCGAAGACTACGTTAGCCATGCACAATAATAGCGACGTTTGTGGTGTGCGTGTATATGTGCATCATGTACGTACGAACACGCGACAGTACCCGAGTGTCGATTTTTCTCGATGACGATGATCACGACAATGTCGCCGCCCGTTGTTCAACGCGATTACACACACGTGTCTCGATCGCCGTTTGTTTCCTCCTCTGCTATCTCGACCACCTCGAGAGCCTCGAGACACAGTGACAGAGGAAGGCAAAACAGCACGGGCCTCGCGGTAGTCCGCTTTATCAGCGGTCTACTCACGGCGGAAGCACACAACAGACGAGGAACGAGGTCGAGGGTTGTTTTACAGGAACGTCTATATCTTCTCCCTCTGTCTCTCCGTCTTACGTCTCGGATTTTCTTACCTTCTCTCCGACTGAAGTAACGTAGACCCGGAAAGTCGATCGAGAAACGAAGACTTCGATGTATCTCCGTGAGAATGATTGGCTGTTGAACGTACGACTACCCCGTTCCACGATCCGACTTCCTTGTAGTCCCTTGTCGCTATTAGACACGCGGCTGTTTCTCCAGGATTCGTTGTGTACACACACACACACTTCACACATATATATACACATACCTTCGCTTTCGGATCGAGTGCGACGAACTTTCGCTATCACTTCCACGCCACAGTACAAAAGAGCTTCGCTACTGCGAGGTATATATATTACAAATATATATAAATATATATATATATATAGAGAGAGAGAGAGAGAGAGAGAGAGAGAAAGAAAGAGAGAGATTTTTTTTAGTTTTATCGTGTCTCATTTTTCGAAAAGATCGTCGCATTTTCTTCTTTTCTCTCGCAGAAGATAATGACAAGATCCGCTTATTTTGCACGCAAGGTATATCTCAAACAGCTTGCTCCGTTGCTGCTACTTCACCTGGAAAAATATTCATTTAATGTCGTAATACTTGGCTAATCTAATTCAGTTAGATACTCATCCTTTCGCTGTTTCATCTAAGTAGCAATGTTCGTGGTACGTGCGTTATTATTCACTCTTCGGACGGATTTCGTTTCCGTACGTATAAGCGTGTATTTCGATGGTATAAAATATACGAGACTAAATGTGTAATTAAATGAAGATCTTTATCGTGTAAAAATTTGTAAAAAGATTCCCCTCGAATTATATAACGTTCGTCTAGACGTTTTACGTACTAATAATTGGGATCCGAGAGATCGCGTGGATGATAAATGAGCGACAGAAAGAGTGAGTGAGAGAGAAAGAAAAAAAAGAGAGATTTACTCATCGAAAATAATAGTATACCAAGTGTCTCTTTCCTCGTTTCCGCTGTTACGGCGAACAGCGAAGACTTCTCGGTTTAATTAATGTATATTTTTCGTCGACTAATTACATTAACATACAAACATACATACACACACAAACAGACACATGTGCGACTAGAGATTATAAACTACCTGTTTTATTCAATACTAGACTTCTTCACGATGTTCACAAACGCTCTCGTCTGGCAGCTGACGATACAACTCTACCTGAAACAGTATATCGAGAATCGCTCCATATCGTTCGTTATATTTATCCTAACATAGACAAGCAATCATTTGTTACTGCAAATATTCGTACTTGTTTCTACATGTTTATGTTACATAGCAATGAATTTTTTGACATTTCTTTCATGTTGTAGATCTCCTATAATAGATGATAGAGAATTTTTTCTTTATCATTGATGTCTGATGTTTATAAAGTGTCTTTACACAGTATATCTGATCTTTTCATACGTAGCCGTAATAATAGTCTCGAAGAGAGTTAATAAAGATCGTGAAAGTCCAAACTTAACTGGACTAACTTTTTATTTTACGATCATGCAATAGTTCCAGATTATCCAGATGTCGCATACAGCTTCGTCATTGTGAAATCGTTTTTATGTAAATAATAGTAGATATTAAGCATAAGAGAAATACTTTATGAGTACGAGATATTTTTTCCACGCTTTAAAAACCTTCCTTATGTTTGTAACGTTTAGGCTATTTAAGATAGGTAAGAAAAAAGGAGAAGAAGGAAGAGAGAAATATGAACTACTATGTTGAAATTATAATATTACTATTATTGTTTATTTGACTATTAAGACAAATAAAAATGTTCATGTACATAATTTTGAAGAATTAAATAAAATATTAATAATGGTGCTTTTTCTTAGCTTTGCAGAGTTTAGTTTCACTTGAACCTTTGTATTTTGGAGTTTTGGAACAGCCATGTTGAAAAAATACTATAAAAAGATATATATATATATATATATATATGTACAAAATTGTAAAGTCACTTTTTCCGGTCATAAAAAACAATTAAAATTCAACAGGCTATAACTTTTATAAACACAACGGTAACGTGAGATTTCAAAGATAATCGAGTAAGAATGCATTTGACTTGTCGTGACTTAAATTGAAAGTCTTCAAATTTGCTGTTAAATCGTAAAATGAAAATAAAAAGACACACATACATCACACTCCAAGTATAATGCAATGCACCAGATGCATGATCTGTCCGAAAAGTTCATAGGCAATAATTTTTAATAAGCATATATTTAATTATCAGGTACATCGAGTGCATCTCCCTCAAAATATTTTCCTTACGACATTGCACATTATTCCAGCGTCTCTTCCATTGAATTCGTCGACTGCTGCTCTCTTCAGAACACGTTCATTTTTCCGGTTTACAGACCGAAGAATTAATCGAAAGGAAATAGTCGACAAACGATAATCGCTAACGATTTCGCTCATATATATATATATATATATATATATATATATATATATATATATATATA